GGGTTTAGGGTTTAGGGTTTAGGGTGTAGGGTGTAGGATTTAGGGTGTAGGGTTTAGGGTGTAGGGTTTAGGGTTTAGGGTTTAGGGTTTAGGGTTTAGGGTTTAGGGTTTAGGTGACAGACGATTTCTGTGTAAATATACTATAATCATACTATCTAAGTTATGATCATATGATATGGTGTAACTTTAATATATTAAGATATAATACAGCATGATAATAGTATAAGTTTAACATCAAAATATACTATGTCATACTATTTAATTTATAGGTTATGATATAGTATGTTTTAATAGTTTACAGTATATTTTGTGGTATGTTATAGCATATTATGGTGTAGTATGATATAGTATAGTTTTATAATATGTTACAGTATACTATATTTGTGGTATGTTATAGTAGGTTATGGCATATGATGGTATCTGATGGTTACAATAGAGTTTTAAGAAACCCTAAACCCTAAACCCTAAAGTAGTAGGGGTCCAGCCCAAAGTGATTAGGGTGCAGAGGTCGTTGTAAGCCCGAGCCAGAGATCTTCGCGATCTTTGGCCTTTCGCGACAAGTCAAATCTTGCTAACATGGGGCCACGGCCTTAGGGGTTTAAGGTTAAGGGTTTAGGGTTTAGGACCTAAATAGCCAGTACTATTTTGCTGGTTCCTTATTATGGTGCAGGCTTACTGCCTGAATGATTACCTAAACTATTTTTTAGGGGGTTCCTTTTCATTATTAGTTATAGTATAAACTACCCCAAAACCCTATTATTATTATTCTTCAGGCCCCTACCTTAGGCTTTGAGCCGCGGCAGTTGCAGCCATGCCTTCAGGCCTCAGGGTTCCCGGCGTGTAGGGATGAGGCTTCCAAAAACCCTCACCCCAAAGCAACCCTAAACCCTGTAACTGGGAGGACTTCGGATACGTGGGTGTAGGGCAATAAGATTTGGGGTCCCGTCAGGGAAGTTGTGGAATGGGTTCTGACATGGAGACAAAGATCCTGAAGCACCGATCCAGATGTATTGCAGAAGCCTCAATAAGTACCAATATTATCCGATATAATTATTCCTCATGGTTCCTGATTGCACTTCTACTATAAAGGGGCCCAAACCCTATTCTAATTATTTTAGGCCGCGACCTTAAGCCAAGGGCCCCAGACCTTGAACTTCGGTCCCGATCTCCCGAATCCTGCGCGACTGCTTGCTTTTCCCAAGGCTTTTATCGCGGCGCTGGGAAATCGAAGAGGCCCCGGGCCTGGGGAAAAAGGGCATCAGGATCTACAGTACAAGGCCTACTTGGAGGTTCATGGGTAGTTATAAGTAGGGTTATAAGTCCCCTAATATGGGTTATAAGTATAGTTATCCTACTTATAACCCTATTTATAACTACCCATGAACCTCCAAGTAACAACTGGAAGCCCAAGAGCCTTAGTCCTTCTAAGACCAACGTAAAGGGAATCCCAGCACTAATTGTCCTTAGTCCGGTTTCCAACTTTTTAGGGTTTACTATAAGGCTAGTTCTCTAAATTAGGGTCCCCTTTGCGGTCCCGAATAGAGTACGGCATAATTATCAAGAGGACCCTGAAGAAGGACCTAAACCCTAAACCCTAAACCCTAAATTTAGAGAACTACCCACAAGGGTTTCGGGAGTTCCCGGGTTTCGGGATGTAGGGCTCATGGGTTTTCGGTGCAGGGCTTGGCGTCAGCACATCACTCCCCACGTAGTAAGCAAGGACATACGGTTGATGATATGAACCCTGCATATAACCCATAATTCAGAAAATGCCATAATTCCCGTAGTTTAGGGTCCTTAAGGGAATGCAGGATTTATATCATCAACCGATTTTGTAGAAACGCGACATCAAGCCTACCACCCTACGGCTTCGGCTTTCGGGTTCGAACCCGTAATCTACTTGGGGGTTCATGGGTAGTTATAAATAGGGTTATAAGTAGCATAACTATACTTATAACCCATATTAGGGGACTTATAACCCTACTTATAACTAGCCATGAACCTCCAAGTAGGGGGTGGACTACTTGAAATGGTATTCCCTTATGGTATCGAATGCTACTATACAGGAGAAGTGTACAGCTTCTATAAACATTCGTTACTCTAATGAGTAAAGCTTCTAAAAAATATCTCCTGATCTCGACATCGTGTCCGCGCCAGGTGCTTGAACACTTCACGCAAGCAAAGACTACGAGTTTGGCGGGGCAAAGTGTTCATGGTGCGGTTTGGGTGTTTCGGGGTTAGGAGTTTAGGGTTTAGAAGTTAGGAGTTTACGGTTTAGGGTGCAGGGTTTAGGGTTGAGGTTAAGGTTCCCGACCTCAGAGATCTAAACGAAAACTCAGAAAACGCACTGAGCCTGCCCCCCCCCGCCTAAAAGGAAAAACTACATAAGTGGAAAAAACGGAGCCCCACAGCGTCCCTTTCTGTAAAAGGAAGGGCGACCCGAGCCAGAGCAAGTGGAGGGCGAGGGAGTGCGCCTTGGTCGCGAGTTCAGATCTTTAGGGTATAGGGGTTTAGGGTTTAGGGGTTTAGGGTTTAGGGTTTAGGGCATAGGGGTTTGGCTTGAGTGTGGCTGCCCTCTGCGGTTTGGTTTTGAGGATTGTTGATGTAGGGTTCCGGATAACTACTAGTAGTAATACTATTCCTTCGTGGCATCGTGGTCCCAACACCCAACTATATCTATAGTATAATTTTGCACCCCACAAGCCCTGCGACCCTAAACCCCATAAACCCTAAACCCTGATCCCCGCACACCCTAAACCCCAAATGTGCTAATAATGCAGGTTCAATGAGGGTTTGGGGCTTGAGTCCACCAGAGTTTGGGGCTGATGTGTCGTTGGATTTAATATATGGGTTTCCAAAAATAGGGGACCCTACTATCCTAAATTACTAGGATTCTTATTATAAGGACCCCAAATTAAGGTACCCTGATTGTCGGCAACTCCCATAGAAGCCTAAATGAATACCCATACGACTTGGGGAGCTCCTCATTATAATTGTAGAATTCCAGATAATCTTTGTGCAGCTGGATACACTTCTTGAGCTGATGAGGCACATGGCCCAAGCTGTGGAGGGCCTCACACCTTTGTTGAACAGTTTACAGCAGCATAGCTAGGTTAGCAGAACAACTGCGGTTGTGCGTGCAAGGAAAAAGTTAGGTCCCCCTGAAGCCATGGCTGGTCTGTAATCACGCATTTCCGATTGAGATCTAGAAGACCCCAAGGGTTGATGATACCAGATGGTTCAGAGAACCCAAATCATCATGACCTCCGCCGGTGAGACTGACACAATTGGTGACAGCAGGGATGGAGGTCCCAATCCTCAACAGGTTATGGGCGCCCAAGTCGCTGGCGCGAGAACTCCGGTGTTGTTGAATGGAACCTATGGATCTATGGGTTCGATGATGCTGGACGGCGAGACTCGCCCTCCTTCGGGGGAGACAGAGGCTCGGAGCTCGGGAGAGTCTGGTCGGTCTGGGAGAGCCACGGGTGAAGCTGTGGTTGGGACGCTTAGAGCAGCTGCAGGACGGGTCATGGCGAACGTCGCTGCAAAGGTTCAAGGAGCGATTCCACCTGCCGGGGCGGACACCGCGTCGAGTTTCTTGTCCCCGGAGGACGGGGGTTCTGCTGGAACAGCGGAGACGGGCTACGTGACAGTGGCATCCGGTGGGGATAGAGATCAACGAGCTACAGAGGACGCTCCGGAAGCGGCAGGTAGTGGACTTTTCTCTCCCCAGCAAGCACGCCGACTTCAAGAGATGCAGCAGGAAGCACCCTTGTTGTATGCAGAGGAAGGAAGTAGAACGACTCCTCCACCTCCTGAGTCAGTGCCTCCTCTACCTCACTCGTCGAGTTCTGATTCTGCGCAGGCTGATGCAATTCAGGCTGAAGTTCGTAGACAGATGCAGTCCTTGATGTCTGTACAGAGTGAATTGCAGGGTAGGATGGCAGCACTAGTTGAAGAGAATCAGATGCTTAGACAGGCAGTAGTTGATGGGCAGGTTCCTCAACAGGGAACAAGTGGTTGGCTTAGTGGACTTAGGCGAAATTTGATGGGGTTTGTTCAACCGGGGTCAGGTAAGGCTCCGTCAGCACCGTACTCAGTCAGCGAGGGATGGCAGTCGATGACGATGGCGTACTCCAGCTTACGCCCACCGCCGGCAGCCGCTGGTGATGTCCCAAGTCATGTAGGTGCGCAAGGACCTTCACTGCCGGTCAGTACGCATGCCCCTTCAGGTTTAGGCCCCTTGCCGATTGCCCAACCCATGTCTTCAGGTGCCAGTATGGCAATCGCGGTTCCTCATGCCTCACCAGGTAGCTGTGGAGGAAGTTTCCCTTCGGGTTTAGGCCCCGTAATCCTTCCAAAGGTTGCAGGCGCATCAGGCGCAACAGGTGCAACAGGCGCAGCAGGTGCCTCAGGTGTGTCAGGCATAGGTGCATCAGGTGCAACAGGCGCAACAGGTGTGTCAGGCATAGGTGCATCAGGTGCAACAGGCACAACAGGCCCTCCAGTCGGGGGCGTACCAGGCGCAGCGGTTCCAGGAGGAGGTGCTTCGCCGAAGACCTCGGGTCCGCAAGGGGGTCCAGAGCTGCCTAGAAACCCGCTTGAGGCAATGCTTTCAGGGATTGTTCAACTTCAGAACGTGGTGGCTGATTTGGCTGCGAACAAGCAAGGAGGCTCCGGAGGTGCAGTTGGAAATCCAGAAGTGGTTCGCCCAGGTGTGGTTGAGTTAGTGAAACTCCCGGCTCCTACATTGGAAGGCGCTCTTGGTTTCTCGGACTGGGTGCATGCCGTAAAGCCGTCGATGAGTGATCTTTCAGACACGTCAGGTGAGTGCTGGGACAAGGTTCTTTCTGAGGCTCAAGAGTGGTACAATCACCAGTTTGTGCCGGCCAATCCCATCGCACGGGTGAGACTCAAGGCCCCGGCGTCTTCGATTGACAAAGAGCCTCGCTGGGCTAGGGTTCGCCACCGTATGGAGCACTTGATCCTTCAGTGTTGTCCGGACTCAGTAAAGTCGGAGCTTTCCTCAGCGCGAGTCAGTGGAGTCATGAACATCCTGTGTAAACTCCACGTGATTTACAAACCAGGTGGTGTAGCTGAGCGCGCTGAGGCGTTGAGGCAGGTGCAACACCCAAGACCGGCAGACTCGGCCATAGATGCGGTGTTGAAGCTTCGCACATGGCGGAGATGGATGACACGTCTTACGGACTTAGGCGGGTCACAGCCGGATCCAGCTCTGAGTGTGCAAGCGTTGGAGTCTATCACGGGAAATGTCTTGAAGAGTTTGCCAAGCCTTTCTTTCAGGATTAATTTGGTCCGTGCATCACTACACCTGGATGCCCAGCCGACTTCTTCCAAGGTCAATGAATACTTTGAGCACCTACTTGTTGAGTTGGAGTCTGCTTCTAGGGTTGCCGAGTCCACTGCCAGTGGCTCGCCAGGCCCAAAGGGTGAGTCTGCAAGAGGCGTTCGACAAGTGGAGGCTCGTGTGGCAGCTGGCCAGGATGGGGGAAATCCTAACCCTAAGGACTCAAGGGGGTCAAGGACATCTTGGTCTCAACCCACCAGTGACTCTCCAAAGAAGCCATGTAAGTGGTTTATGGAAGGTAAGGGATGTAGGCGAGGGAAGGACTGTCGGTTTGCGCATGACTGGGGTCAGATCCCTAAGAGCGACAGGACCGATCGTTGCATGAACTGTGGGGGCAAGGGCCATCGAAAGGACTCATGTCCAGTGGGCCAGAGCCCTAGCCACGCCAAGCGTGACGATGGAGCCAGCTCGGCAAAGGCAACAAGGACAGAGTCCAACCCAAAGGCCAAACACGCGGACCCAGGACTGCGGAAGGTCTTATCCGATGCGGCAGGTGTGTTGAGGGAAGCCTTGTCGTCTGGAGCAGCGTTGCAAGAAGTAGGTTCGGAGGCAGGTCTTGTCGCACCTCAAGGCAATGAAGCGGAAGGCTCGTCAGGTGTCGCAGGCCCCCCAATGGCTGCAGCAGCTAAGATTCAGGCCCAGCTCGAGGACTTGGAGGCGCAGGTGCTTGATGGCAGTCCAAAGGTGAGAGCTTTGCAAGGTCTGAGCCAGTTTGAGGAGGAGCCTACCGCACTCCTTGATTCAGGTGCCACTCATGCGGTGTTGGATGAGTCGTCAGTGCGAGCTCAGGACCTTGTGCCGTGTACCGTTTCTTTGGCAGGTGATCAAAGGCAGGTTTGGCAGCAAACACCGGGAGGCTCACTGGTTGCGCCGAGCAACGAGTCGGGAAACGTACCGCAAACCATATTGCCTCTAGGATGCCTTGTAGAGCAGCTAGGGTGTACCATCAAGTGGTCCAAGAAGCTAGGTTTGCATTTGGTCCATCCGCGGTTAGGAAGGCTACGCACAAGCCTGAAGGGTGGATGCCCTCAGCTGAACAAGGACCAGGCTTTGCTGCTGATCAAGGAGCTGGAAAAGGCAAGGCTTGGTGAGCTCACAAGTCGTTTGAGGAAGGTACAGGCCCAACTGAAGGCGTGCACAGGAGTGAAGCTCCAGGATGCCATAGACGAGTTTGTGGGCTGCGGTAGCTACACCTCTGCGTTGAGCCTTTCTCAGTTGATGCCGTTCTTGGTTGGTTTGCCACAGCGAGTGGTGACTCGTCTACCAGTTGACCTTTCAGAAACGAATGGATGGGAGGTACTCAAGGGTCTCCCGTTCAACCGAGGTTTCAGGAAGAGGTTGCATCAGTCGCACGCATGGCTCCTTCACTTCAGCTCGGGTCCTGCAGATTCGGCCCTCCGTGGCTTGTGTAAGGACAGAGGTGTTGAGCTTGTGGAGTTGACAAGCACCAGCTTGCTGGCCCCAGAGGTATGGCAGGCCTTATCGTGGGCAGCCTTCACAGGTCGTGTGTCAGGGATTGTGTCAGAGGCGCTGATGCGTACTTGGAGCGGAATTCGGGTGAATGACGCGAAGGTTGTGCGCTTGAGGGACGAGAAGCACCCCTGGGGTAGCCCGTGCAACGACGCCGCACATCAGCTGAGGGTTGAGGATGATACGGTGTTGGCGTTGCGCCCTCTGTGGTTGTGGACCTTGTCGTCAATTGCAAGGGGGGAAGGGATACCAATTTGTCAAGTTCAGTCCCTTCAGGCAGAGTGCGTTTGTGAACCTTGGATGAACGCAGTAATCGCACCGTTTGCGGAGTGGAGCAATTGCAGCCGGTTTGACGTGGCTTCAGTGAGGGAGACTGCCATGGTGACAAAGCCCTTGCATGTGTGCACTAATCTCGGGTTTCCTAGGATTGAGGAGGAGTGCCAGACTCCTCAAGATGGTCAGCAACCTCTTCCAGCGGTTCCTGTGTGGCCTAGTAAGTTCAAGCGGGAGCTGAGTTTGGCGTTGTTTGGCATTGCAACAGAAAGCTCATCCCCAGGCATGTCGCGTGTGAAGGCGGTTGATGGACAAGTAGCGGAGGACCAGATCTGTTTGCCAGAGGATGAAGCACAGGTCCTAGGCTTGCCTTTCCAAGGTTTGCAGGAGGACGAGGCACAGGTACCAGGTTCGCTTCCTCAAGGTTTGCACGCCGAAGGTGTAGGTCAAATGCATGACAAGGCGATGTCAAGGGCGGTAGGCTCAGGAGGAGTACCAGGTGTTACGTCAGATGTGGCGCCAAACCCGGTGCCCAAGTTGAGTGACAAAGACCGTGAAATGTGGAAGAGACATTTAGCTTCGCATCACATTCCTTTCAGAAAGGACTGCCTCCAGTGTGTTATGTCTGGTTCACTCGGCGTACAGCATCGACGTGTCAAGTGCCCTCAGATGTTTGCGCTAGCCTTTGACATGACAGGGCCCTTCAAGGAGCTGGGTCGTGATGACCGTGGAAGCGGCTACAAATATGCTCTTGTTGCAGGCCTTCGCATTCCTGAAGAGGCACTACCACCAAGACAAAGGGAGGCTATGCCGAAGTCAAAAAAGGATCGGTCGGTCACTCCAGGAGCTGTTGCCATCGAATCGCAACAGTCAGAGGCCTTGAAAGATGATGATGCCAGTTCGGAAGCTAGTTGGTTGAAGGCTGACTTGGAACCCACTGTTGTGGTGAGTAAGGTTGATGGTGATGCATCCGACTCAGATGATGAACAGCGATCCGAACTTAGCTGGTTCGAGGCTCCAGATGTTGATGACGTTCCCGATGTCACTCCTGGTGAAGGGAACGACAACGCAGCAGGAGCTTACCTTGAAGGAGTTGTTCTCCCAGCACAGCCAGAGGCAGAAGGTGATCCATGGGATGACGCTCAGGGTATGTCAGCAATATCTGACGAGGCCTTTGATGAAGAGTTGTCCAGTATGATTTTTACCGGGGCAAATCAGGTGCTGAGGTTTGTTGTGCCGTTGAAATCAAGACAGGGCCCACAAATCTTGGCAGGCTTGCAGGAGGTTGTCACTGAGTGCAACAGGTTGGGCTACCCTGTGAAGATTGCCCACACTGACCGTGCCAAGGAGTTGATGTCAAAGGCGACCATGGACTGGCTCCAGTCAAAGCTTATCCAACCGTCCTTTACTCAAGGGGACGACCCAAAGTCCAATGGGCTAGCAGAAAGGCTAGTAGGTTGGGTTAAAGCTAGGGCACGGTTGCACCTGGCATCTTCTGGTTTAGGGGTAGAACAATGGCCCTCTGCTATGGCGTTTGCATGTGCAGAGCACAGACACCGAGTGCTTCAGATGCCAGGTTCCTTACCCAGGTTTGGACAAAAGGTTATCTTCAAGAGCAAGCACCCTACAGGGAAGTCCAAGCGCCCCTTCATACGTTGGGAAAATGCAGTGTACCTTGCTCCAACTCCTCGTACAGAAGGCGGGCACGTACTGATGCGTGCAGCTTCAGGGGGTTACTTGGTGGCAAAGAATGTTAGATGTGTTGACAACCTAGTCAATCCAGAGGCAGAGCTAGGTGACGAAGGTGTACTGGAGGCCGAACTGACTGAAGACAAGGCACCGGAAGAACCTGGTCCTAGCCGTAGGGTTACGGGGAAGAGGTCCGTCAGATCTGTGCAGTAGGCTTCTGAAGTGATTGCCGAGGAGCTGTTGAGGTCAGAGGCATTTGAGGTCAGTGACTGCAGCAGAGTTTTAGAGGCCGCATTTGGCGGAGCAGCAACTTCTTCCCGTGACACGCATCGGGGGCCAGTTCGGTTTGCAACTGTGTTTGGGTGCTACAGTCACGGCGGTCTGCGCGGGATAACCAGAGCAAGTTACGTACACCCTTCAGTGTGCAAATACTTGAATGAGTACCTGAGACGCCATTTGCATCCCGAGGAGGCAGAGCCGGCTTGGACGGCCCTGACTGTTGTATCTGCAGATGAAATCGCAATGCACAGGGATGTGAGGAATGAGCGGGGGTCTTTGAATTACGTTGCACATGTCCCTTCCAGAGCCTTGTGGATTGAAGGGGAACCAAAGGGAGAAGGAGCCCAGGTATGCTTAGACCCACAGGGGAAGGAGCATTCAGGCCAGGTCATTCCTTTAGGCGCAACCACCGAGGTGTTTGATCCAAAGAGGAGACACGCGCTGCTTCCAACCTCTAGCTGGGTCCTAGCGGGGTATAGTCCTTTGGGTTCAGCCAAGTTGTCGGAAGGAAGGCAACAGCAGCTTTTGGACTTGGGCTTCAGGTTGGTGCGCCCAGATGCGTCGCATGAGCCAAGGGTGTGTAAGCTAGTGGGTCCAAATCCAAATCGACTACCCGAGCCGAGAACTCGGAGGCCTGCACCACCGCCAAGGACAGGAATGAGTGTGAGGTACGCTCGCATGTCCATTCAGGAGTGGGCAGATCTATGTGAGCTTGACGAAGAAGGGTTTGAGCGCGGGTTTGCCAGATGGCAGCGCGTGCTAGGAGGTCAAAACGAGGACCCGGCGCTAGACCCTCTATCAGGGTCAATTCCGCATCACCTGTTTATGGCCACGGTGTTTCAGCAAAGAGATTGGACTAGGGATCCAGAGCTCTACCTGCCGACAGCAGACGGGAGACGACTTCTGGCTTATGTGTTCCAGTTTTCAGATGATGGCTATGTGGACGATACGCCATTTCCTGACAGGATGTTGATGTTCTCAATCAGAGATATGATTCGTGATGTGGAGGAGATGGTGATCCTCAGAGTGGAGCTGATTCAAGAGCAGGTAGGTCAGGCAGAGCTGATGCAACCAGTGCTGCAACCGCCAGGTCCACCTCCCCCACAGGTGCAAGCAGTGACAGCTTTGGAATCTGAGGAAGCTGTTCCCAAGGTTACCAGGTTGCCAGTTCCGCTGCCCAACCCCACGTGTATTGGGGTAGCTTCGACTTCACATCCTTCCATCCTACCAAGCCAGGAAGGGGTCTGCGTTCGAAAGACTGAAGCGACGACTACAAAGGACTTGGAGGGATTGCTCAATCAACTCACTGAGCCACTGAGCGTGACGCACACGGCGTCGCAGGAGGAGGTGCGTGCAAATCTGGGCAAATGGAAGGCAGCAATCGAAAAGGAGCTTGATTCATTGAAGGGTCCAGGTGTTCTTGTCAGCCACTTTGGTCAAGAAGCACGAGATATGATAGCCAACCCAGAGACCACTGTGATATCCTTGAAGGGTGTTTTCACGGCAAAGGCACCGAGTGGTCCAGCAGACGGCTTGTTCAGACGGAAGTGTCGTCTTGTTGGATGTGGTAACCAATCCACGCATGTGGACGCCGACTCGTTGTATGCAGCCGGAGCCCCGGCCGAGTTGGTGCGAGCTTCGTTGACCCAAGCATCACGACATCAGTGGTCAGCTTTCACCACAGACATTCGTTCTGCATTTACTCAAACCCCGATTCCCCCGCATGCCGCTCGCCGTTATCTACTTCGGCCTCCGCGATGGTTGGTAGATTTAGGCCTGGCAAAGGCGGATGAGTACTACTCGTTGGGAATGGTGTTGTATGGCTTCAAAGAAGCACCAGCCTGGTGGTCAGAACACAGGGATGCCAAGCTCAGGACAGCGTCGTTTCTTGGATGCCGGTTGGAACAAGGAAAATCGGACGCGTCGATTTGGAGGATCATGGAAGGCAATGTCATCAAGGGCTATTTGGTGACTTATGTGGATGACTTCTTGATCTTGAGTGACAAAGGGATTGCTCAAGGGCTGCACCGGTGGATCATTGACAAGGCAGGCTGGGAGACTGATGGTCTTAGCGAAGCAACACCGGGGAACCCAGTGAGGTTTTTGGGGATGCAGCTTCAGAGATATGAGGATGGACACTTCAGCCTGGATCAGGAAGCTTACATTGACGAGTTGGTGAGGGCTCATGGACTGGGTGAAGGTGACAAGTCAAAGATCGTTTGTCCGCGAGAGACCTTGATGTGTGAATCAGAGGTGGTTCAGCCCTACGACGAGAGCACCGTGCGCGCGGCACAGAAGGTGGCAGGCGAGTGTTTGTGGCTTTCACAACGTAGTCGGCTGGATGTGGCATTTGCCACGACCATGCTTTGCTCCAGGGTTTCCAGAGACCCGCATGGCGCCCTGGCCATAGGACGACGAATCCTCAGCTACTTGAACCAAACCAAGGACTACAGGATGCACCTCAAGCCTGATGAGTCCGCGGGACCCATCCGGATCTTCACTGACGCGTCCTTCTCACCACAAGGACAGCACTCGTTTGGAGGACACATCATCGAGGTGTTCGGTGTTCCAGTGCTCTGGAAAGCATCTCGCCAGGCATTGATTGCTCTTAGTTCGTCTGAAGCTGAGTTAATTCAAGCTGTGGAGGGCTGTACGTACGCCGAATCCCTGATGACGGTCTTGGTTGATCTGGGACTTCACTGCTCAACGGCAGAACTGCAGCTGGACAACACCGCGTGCATTGCTTTCATCAATGGAGCTGGCAATCAGAGAACACGTCATCTTAAGGTCAGAAGCTTCAAGATTAGGCAACTTGTGCAAGGAGGCTGGACGGTTCAACACTGCAGAGGTGAGGTACAAAAGGCGGACATCCTAACAAAAGCCCTCCCATCAGCAAGAACTCAGTTTCTGTGCCAGCTTGTGGGTTTAGGTTTGGAATATGAAGGGGAACAGGCCGCCAGTGAACAGGTCCCTCAGGTTCGTGCAGTCGCGCCGCAGTCGGCTCCTTGCCTTACCGGGCTCCTAACGTTGCTCCAGTTCTGTATCTGTGCAGGATATGAAGGTACAGGTGATGGTGGAGTTTCCATTGAGTGGCCCTGGGAGCTCGGGGTCCTGACCCTACTCGTGATCCTTTCTACGTTGTTCCTGTGGGAGGCGAGCGGAGCTCCATGCAGGCGCAGAGCGGAGGATGTGCCTCGTGTGCGGGCGCTTTCAGTACCCAAGGCTGAGCGTCGATCAAAGAAGTTGCAAGAGCGGGTAGCAGCAGCCATTGACAGTGCGATGAGTGAGAGCCCTACCGGGGATGAAGCTAGGACAGAAGGACGCAAGGGGCGAAACAAGTGCTCAAGTAACTTCGCTCAGGTGGAGCCTCGTCCTCTCTCCAACTCACCTACAGTTGTGTACGGGGATCTCAACATGCACTGGTCGCAGGCCAGTTCCGAGCAAACAGGTCCTCCAAGCAGCGCGGCGGACGGGCCAGCAAGGCACTACACCGCTGAGGGAGTCCATGCCACGACAGCAACATCCTATCCTTTCCAAGCACCAGATCGAGTTGCACTGGAGCCTTCCGGACCGGTTGAACATTCAGGGCTCCAACAAGGGTTCGCTGTCAAGGGATCCTGCTCCAAGGTAGCGTGTAGGACACAGTCTTCTCAAACTGATCCCGTGATAGTTCTTGATGACAGTGAGTATGTGTACGTTTCCGGAGGTGGTGACTGTGTACACAGGGATCAGAACTGTAGAGGACTCCGAAGGGCTGGAATCATCAAGCCCAAGGCTATTTGCCAACACTGTTTGAAGAACCGAAGTTCGTTTTGAGTTTAAGTTGTGGATCTCATCTAGCGATGGATCCAAGGAGGAGTGTAGAATTCCAGATAATCTTTGTGCAGCTGGATACACTTCTTGAGCTGATGAGGCACATGGCCCAAGCTGTGGAGGGCCTCACACCTTTGTTGAACAGTTTACAGCAGCATAGCTAGGTTAGCAGAACAACTGCGGTTGTGCGTGCAAGGAAAAAGTTAGGTCCCCCTGAAGCCATGGCTGGTCTGTAATCACGCATTTCCGATTGAGATCTAGAAGACCCCAAGGGTTGATGATACCAGATGGTTCAGAGAACCCAAATCATCATGACCTCCCGCCTGGTGAGACTGACACAATTGGTGACAGCAGGGATGGAGGTCCCAATCCTCAACAATAATGATAGTAGAATACCTCCAAACCCCACTTCAAACTATCAAGGCCCCTACATTCTTAGGGCTTTTCGGGTCATGAATAAATCCCAAGATTATTCCTTATAAGGGGCCGTTAACATGAGTGTTGGAGTTGCTAGAATATATACACCCACCCTAAATACTAAGCCGTTACTTCCCCCCTAACCCTTGCCATAGACGAGCTTTCCTCTGTTCTTGGTGGCTCTTACTATTGAGCCCTCGTCTAGTCTTCTCAGAGTAAACCCTGAACACCTTGGAGCACGCCGGCCGGAGCGTTCCGTGAAAAGCCACGTTTAGGTTTCAGGGGTTGGCGGGTTTTTGAGGTTTGGGATGGATAGGTCTGAAAACTAACATAGAAAAGTATCCCTTAAAGTCAAGAGTCTCTAACACAAACCTGTAACTTAATATAATATACCCCAACGCCTTATCCCAATCATCACGGTGCCTACATTCGGGTATAGGGGATCCCTTGCTGACCCCTGACGCGCGGCCTCCATGCATCGTAGAAGTCAAAACACACTTGTCGTCTCAGGATCGGACTTTTCCCTATACTTGTGGACGGCGGCTGGATCGTCAGCCGCGAAAGCGCCACTTGGATCAAACATTGCAGGTACCTACACCTTCAGAATTGGCTTAGACCCTACTCAAGCCTTCAGGTTGAAAAGACCCAGGTTTCGAGTTCTTCGAGCCTGGCGCGTCAAGACGGACAGCCATGAGCCTATAAGTCGCGGTCTCCATCGCAGTCAAAGTTGAAGTCGCTGCAATAGCAGTTACCAGCCATTATTGCGACGACGACGATTACTCGTACTACTTTAAGTTACCTAACAGCTGCTGCTACCACGACGACGGCTGCTACTATTGAAGCGACTACGACCACGACTACGAGGAGTACTGCCACTACCTCAAGAAAGGCTTCAAGCAGTGGTTTCCTTGCAGGGTCCCAAAGTGCATCCCCATGGCTGTTCCTGTAGTTTTCCTAGAAGGGCTCCTATAAATGAGGCTCCCTATAAGGGTTTCTATTGACGAGGTTACTATCAGGGTTTCGTCGAAAAATATGGTTGCCCGTAAGGGGTTCCAAAAACGGTTGTTTGCGACTATGTGTTCGCACCCAGCTAGAGTGTCAATTCACGCTCTTCGGCCTCGTCCCAGACGCCAAGGCCCAAAGCTTCGACACTGCTGAAGCCCCATGAAGCCAGTTTCGGATAAAGTTCAATCAGGGCACCAAGATAGCCTGTAGCAGCTTTTATAGTAGCCCGTCCTATAGCAACCCCTAACACCCTAAACCAAAGACCCTAAACATGTCTTAAGGCAACTCCTAAAACACCAAACCCTAAACCCTTAAACCCCCTAGACTTTAAGCCCCTAAACCCCTGAACCCTTAAACCCCCGAACCCTAAACCCTAAACCCCAAAGCCTAAACTTTAAACCCCTAAACCCCCAAACCCTAAACCGCAAACCCTATATCCTGAACCCTAAGAGCCTCAACCATAAACGCTTTGGAACCCTTCACACCCAAAAAGGCCATGAGCATTGAACTTCAATCCCAGCCCCTAAACCCTAAACCCTAAACCCTAAACCCTAAACCCTAATCCCCGCCTTCAGTGGCCCTTCCGCTTTCACCAGGACCCCCATGGCCAATACCAGACGCAGGGTCGGTCGGAGGGTTTCTTCCGATATCAAAGCTGCACCTGGGCATCTACAGCGGGTTTAGGGGCTTAGGGGACTCGGGGTTTAGGGGTTTAGGGGGTTTAGGGGGTTTAGGGGTTTAGGGGTTTAGGGGTTTCGAGGTTTAGGGGTCTAGGGGTTTAGGGGTTTGGGGTTTAGGGGACTATGGGTTTAGGGGTTTCGGGGTTTAGGGGTTTCGGGGTTTAGGGGTTTAGGGGTTTCGAGGTTTAGGGGTCTAGGGGTTCAGGGGTTTAGGGTTTAGGGACTATGGGTTTAGGGGTTTCGGGGTTTAGGGGTTTCGGGGTTTAGGGGTCTAGGGTTTAGGGGACTAGGGGTTTAGGGGTTTCGGGGTTTAGGTTTAGGGGTCTAGAGTCTAGGGTTAGGGGTTTAGGGGTTTAGGGTTTCGGGGTTTAGGGTTTAGGGGTCTAGGGTTTAGGGGTCTAGGGGTTTAGGGGGTCTAGGGGTTTAGGGGTCTGGGGGTTTAGGGGTTTAGGGGTTTAGACTTACTCCAAGGTACTGTAATGGTTATAGAAGCCATGATGACATGCTGGGAGAATTGTGGGACATCGTAAGCAAGACTACAAGCCCCTTAACTGCGTCTACACGCAAATTGAGATGAAAGTGACGGTATTGGTAACCTAAACCCTAAACCCTAAACCCCTAAACCCCAAACCCCTAAACCGTAAACCCTAAACCCTAAAAACCCCTGAACCCTAAACCCTAAACGCTAGTAACCCCATGATCCTTTCAGTGGTGGGCTCCGGGCTGGGGAAGAGCAGGGCCCCATGGGTGCTGCATCCGGGAACTCGTTTAGGGTTTAGGGTTTAGGGCTGAGTGCTCTGTGAACTCTTTTATTTATAGAACAGGGTGTAGGGCGTATTAGGGTTTAGGGGTTATTAGGGTTTAGGGTTTAGGGTTTATTAGGGTTTAGGGGTTTAGGGTTTAGGGGTCTAGGGTTTAGGGGTTCAGGGGTTTAATACAGATCCCCGAAGATAGGGGTTGCTTTCCTTTTACTGGGAGCAGACTTGTGATCCAAGATCTTCCCTCTGAAGGGTTTCTGAAAGATGGTACTTTCATTATGGCTTCAGGGGCTCATTGGTTCAAAGTAGGAGGGGTGATAGCTGTTCTTGTTCGGGTGTTGGGGTGTTGGGGTGAGGGGTGTAGGGATTCAGGTTGTAAGGGTTCACCGATCCGTTTCAAATGTAGCAATCATTAAGTTGGAACACATTGAAATTAAATAGTATCCGCAAAGTTCCTACGTGATTATGGCCTCCTGCACGCCCCAATAGACTCTTCCAATCAGTCGCTTCTACAATTCTTGTGGGTTCACTTCCAAAGATTTTCGCGTACAGATCCCCAGAGCCAGTTTAAAACTCCAGGCCACTGTACTGGTGTAGCTAGCCGGGCCCAAAACTCTCATCCTAAACTCTTGGCCCAGACACAAACCTGCAAATCCGTGAGTCGAAAACTCGCACGCCGCCCTAAGCTATTATAGGGTCCATCATTGCAGGAGGGATATCGGACGATAGGCTTCTAAGGCTTTGGTTCTTCATTTTGGGGCTTAGGGCTTCGGGCTTTGGTGGCTTAAATCCCATCCCGGATTTCCGTGATCAGTAGAGCCATAGCGCCATGGCACCAGTCCGGCTCTGTTGCAGGCGTGAACCCTGCTTTCAGATTTTCGCAGGTCGACCCTGCAGCGAGATTGTTTCGCAGGCTTCGGGCTTCGTTCTGCACTTGCTGTCTCGGGTGGCACGAGGCACCGTGCCGGCATTCCCACAGGACCACGTGCACAGGCGGCGCTGCAGGTCGACGAGCTCTCGGAGGGTCCTTAGACTCATAGCGTAGGGATTAGAAGTTAATTCATGTACCGGAACTTAATAAACTTAGGTACCGAGTTGCTCATCTTAGCGTTCTTCAGATGGGGAATTCGCTTTGGGTCTTCAGGCTGCTTCTGTTGCAACCTGGGAGAATTGGAAAGCCTGCATCCTCGAGCCCGTAAGCTTCACTCGGGGTCTATGGGCTTACTATAGGAGCCTAAATAGCTACCTCTACTACTTTGGGTGTTCCCTTTAAGTGTAGTTATACTAAATCTACTCCAAAACCCTATTCCAATTGTTAAGGTCCCCTCATTAATATAGAGTGTAAGAGTTTAGGGCTGAAGGGGCCTGGTGGTCTATGCTTCAGGGAAACATCCTGCCTTACCTGGATTGCGCGAAGCTGTGAGAGTTCTGGAAAAGTCTTGCTACGGAAAAATGCAGGATGCTGGTTTAGGGTTTCGGGTCTCGGGCTTAGGATTTGGAGGTGCATTTTTGGGGGAATTCTTTTTTTTAAGGGTTTGGGGCTTAGTTCTGTATTTTACTAGGAAATACTCCATTTTCTTTTTATTTTAAGAGGAAAACCTGCATTTTCTTTAGTTTTCGCAATTTTTTCTATTTTCTTAGGAAAACCTGAATTTTCTGTATTT